GCCCTCGTGGTCAAATTTCTGATCGTCACGTTACACGGATGTCGTCTCCTCGGAAAGCGCCGAGCGTAAAGTGCTGCGGCATTCACATAGACACCTCGACATTCTCCTAAAATATAAATCATATCAACGATCTCATTGAGTGTATAATCTCCCATTTTAATCACACCAGATCTCTGCTTATTAATACTAAGAGACAAGCTGTATGATAATAATTGAGTTTTATCTCAATGAACAATATTTATTATACTAGCTTTATAATAATTATTGTTATAATTATTATTATCAATATTATTTTTGGGCGGATAATGATAATAATAACAATGATAACACTATTTTGTATTCTCAGCGAATAATTCCTTACGAGTGAAAAATGTGAGCATTACTCGGAAGCGACGTGGACATATTGTCTCTCCCTGCGTGCTCCTACCGGCCACATGTGAATGCCGCAGCACTTTACGCTCAGCGCTTTCCGAGGAGACGACATCCGTGTAACGTGACGATCAGAAATTTGACCACGAGGGCACGTACTGGGCAAATGACACGTCAACGTCGTCATCACGAATATGACGAGAATGATGTTCGAGTGCTGACTATTTTGGCATCGGTCTATCTCGATCCTCATATTTCGAGCCGTAGACTGGAGGTATCCACAGGAATACCGAAGTCCACAATCTTGCGGATTTTGAAGGCTCGGAAGTACCATGCTTATCATATCACTTTGACCCAAACATTATTACCTGCCGATTTTGATCGACGCCTCGAGTTCTGCCGGTGGGCCTTACAGCAGATCGATCGGGACCCTAATTTTTTTAGATTTGTGATGTTTTCCGATGAAGCGACGTTCAAGAACACAGGGGAGTTGAACCGTCATAATTGCCATTATTGGTCCGATACCAATCCGCACTGGCATAGAGCGATTGACAATCAACACCGCTGGAGCCTCAATGTCTGGTGCGGGATTGTTAATGGATACTTGGTCGGTCCATTCTTTTTCGAACGTACTGTGAATGCAAATACGTACCTCGATTTGCTCACAGACCAATTGCCTCATTTGTTGGAGAACGTAGACTTGGAAACCAGGCGAAGGATGTTCTTCCAACAGGATGGTGCACCACCGCACTTTGCACGTATAGTCAGGAGGTTTTTAGATGAAAGGTACCCGAACCGATGGATTGGTCGAGAGGGTCTGATTGCATGGCCTCCTCGTTCTCCTGATTTGACGTCACTCGATTTTTATCTCTGGGGCTATTTGAAAGAAGTTGTTTTCAAAGAAGAACCAACAACAAGAGAAGATATGGAAAATCGCATAAGACGAGCTTGTGAAGCGATTCCACGAAATGTCTTGCTCAGCACAGTGGCCCATTTCCAAAGAAGGCTCAATTATTGCATAAATGCTAACGGTGCAACTTTCGAAAACCTTTTGAATAGCTAGATTAACAATAGCAAAGTATGCATAGTGAGAGGCAAGGGGACTCACTCTAAACAAGCACCCCGAAAGAGGCAGAATTCTACCACGTCCACGTCGTTGTCTCTGGGTAATGCTAAGTATAGAAGATAATTTAGAAATCCCCGTATACAGATACGATTTTCGCATGAATACACGTACAAGTTCCTTTTGACTTTGAAATGACCTCAAAACATGACATTTGATCTTATCGATCATACCATATCCTATTCTAAAATTTCCCGCTCTTTCCAAATCCGGGGTCGAAAATAGGCAATTCCATTTAAAAAATGTTATTTGACCTTCAAATAACCCCTAAGGTCAAAGTCAAGGTCAAATTCAAAGATATGGTCATACGTCCCCCTCCTTGTCCAACAACTTTTGTATGAAACTTTTTTCATTATTTCGCTCACCGGTCGAGTTATTCTCCATTAAATGTTAAAATGGTCCACCCTGTATATATATCAGGTGTAGTAAAAAGAAATCTATTATTTTTGCATGAAATTGAAGGCTTTAATTACCATAGTTAGAATGATCCGATTTAGGTCAAATATGCGCCGTTTTGTTCGATAACTTGTTGCCATTTTGAAGGTAATTTCATTATGCCTCTCTCATAGAATCCCTCGTCCCTATTGGAAAAAAATTGAGACAGTCGATTTTCACAAGCCTCTCTTGAAGCGAATTTTTCACCAGCAAAATTATTCGCCATGGACAGATGGTAATCACTTGGTGCCAGGTCCGGACTATAAGGTGGATGCATAAGAACCTCCCAACCAAGCTCCCGGAGCTTCTGGCGAGTCACTATCGATGTGTGTGGCCTGGCGTTGTCCTGATGGAACATAATTCCTCTCCTATTGGCCAAAGCTGGCCGCTTCTGGGCGATTGCTTCCTTCAGACGGTCCAATTGTTGACAGTACAGTTCCGAGTTAAGAGTTTTGCCGTAGGGGAGCAGCTCATAGTAGATAATTCCCTGCCAACCCCACCAAACACACAGCAAAACCTTCCTGGCCGTCAATCCTGGCTTGGCCACCGTTTCCGCCGGCTCACCGCGATTCGACCACGACCGTTTTCGCTTGACGTTGTCGTAAGTGATCCACTTTTCATCACCAGTGACCAACTGCTTCAGAAATGGGTCGATTTTGTTGCGATTCAGCAGCGATTCGCAGATGGAAATTCGATCCATGAGGTTTTTTGCGTTAACTCGTGTGGCACCCATACATCGAGCTTCTTTTTGTATCCAGCCTTATTCAAATGGTTCCAACCGGTTTTTTGTGCAATCTTTAGCTTTTGGGCAATCGAAACAGTGCTTACATGACGGTCGGACTCGACAATGTCCATGATTTTATCGATATTTTCGACAATTGGCCTTCTAGTGCGTGGTGCATCTTTGACATCGAAATTACCGGAATGGAATCGACGAAACCAATTGCGCGTGATTGGCTGTTACAGTATCAGGACCATAAACACTATTCACATTTTCAGCCGCCTGGCTTGCGTTTTCGCCTTTATCGAAGAAAAACTGTAAAATATAGCGTATTTTCTCTTTGCTAGTGTCCATCTTTGACGCGCGCTCAAACAAAACTGAGTCAACTAATTACAAAACTGTCACAAAAGTATTTTTAGTACGAATCTCATCTTTCTAACGCCATCTAGTGGAACCCGATCGGACTTATACAACGCGAGATACAGATAACTGAAGCCATCTATTGGAAAAATAATGGATTTCTTTTTTATTTCATCTGATATCTGTTCTTGTAAAATTGTATTCCGCCTGACTCGCTGCGATTTGGTACAGCTGACGCTTTATTTATGTATAATAAATTGTTAACAGCCTATTTGTAAAATCTAACTCTGTAGAGATGTCGGAAATAGTTGTAGGAAGATACTATAACAAGTTCATGGTCATATATTACGTCAATAAGGCAAAATATTGCTTTTTGTAAAATGGTATTCCACCTGACTCGCTGCAATTCCTGGTACGGCTGATACTTTATTTAGATATTATAAATTTTGGACGGCCGGATTGCATAATCTGGCTGTGTAAGGTCTTCAGGGACAGTTCAAGGAAGATGCTGTAACAGTTTAGCAATTACACGTATCGCAATTATATCGCCTACGAAGCGAAATTTTGCATCTTGTAAAATAATTTTTGGAGTTATTCGCTGCGATGCTTGGTACGGCGGACGCTTCATTTATTTTTCATAAATTTTGGACGGCCGGATTGCGAAATCTGGCTTTGTGATGATCTCGGGAATAATATACCCAGTAAGCAAAAAATCATTACTATAATGTTATTACAACGATATTCAATAACATGTAACGTTTACAAATATGTTGTATTTAACGTTGTATACAACATCAATGTGAACAAACTTTGACAACGATTTGGAGATTTCGATAATGTTGAAATTACAAATGTTATATTGTTGTAATACATATTGTACTTATGTTTCTTTAACGTTTTGATAATGTTTGTCCAAAAATATTGAATAAATGATATAATTTTATATTGGTGTCAACATTGTGATTTTACTATATTAATATCAAAGTAATGTTAATTTTAACATTTTTATAAAATTATTATTGATACTAATAAAATATTTAAAAATATATTTCTTAAATGCTTAAGTTGCCTTTTAGGTTTCTTCTGCCGCGTCCATTATGAATGTTTTTGATATTTCGTGAACATTTCTATTCTGTTTTCCAAATGAAGTATGATCTAAACATTTTGAAGTTGCATCTCTTTCTGAAAAAGTAAATTAAGACGTTCATGAAACGTGGAAAACAAATCCATGGTAGACACGGCATAAACTCAGAAGCCAGATTAAGCATTTCTACAAGTTAACCTAAAAATTAATTAAATAAAAGTCCGGAAACCACGCAAGAATAAAAAAAAATGATTGTATTTAGAAATACATATATTTAGTGGAAAAAATAGATATATTTGTATTAACATATCACATTTCTCATATCACATATCACATGTTAAATTCTCATGTAGTTGCACATTTGCGATGAATACTGAAATATACTTAAATAACAGTAAAATTAAACGCAGGAAAGTATTTTCTAAAACATTTTTAACATAAGAATACTGATTTTTAACATAAGAATACTGACATATTATCTAAATATATTATCTAAATATTATATATTATCTAAAATAAAAATTTCCATAATCTTTATATATACAGAATGTCCGATAATTCACGGTGTAGCCATGGTGTATAAAAATAAATTAAATAAAAAAAAAAAATAATCTGCTTTTAAATTATAAATTGCATAATTACGAATATAGCATAGTTATGTATAATAAAAAAAACATAAACATAATACTGATTTTCATGTCATAAAAAAAAAACATATACAAAACGATATTTGTCGTATGGTTGATATAATAGTCATGAATATTTTGTTTTTGTAATCGTACAAATAACTTTTTTTACGTTAAATTATAAAAATATAAAATATGTACATAAAAATCCATACGACAAAGTATTATCTTTTTATAAAAGGAACAGTAATTGTACATTGCATCAATGTCCAACAGTCATTTGTCCATCACTTGTCATTTACCCATCACTTATCCGTCTTTGTCTTTTCCTGAAAAATAAAAGTAAAGCATGTAGTAATACTATTTATAATAATTTATAATAATGAAACTTTACTTTTCTTATATAAGACACATATAAAAATGTAAATATAAATAGAAACGGTAACACAGAGAAACTGGTCATAGAAATAAAAAAAAATGTATTTATATTCTTATGTTACATACTCAGAAGTTCTTTCTTTTGCCTGCGTACGTTAGCAAACCTAAACCACTCCATTACACAATGTTCGAAATCTTTTTCAGTGCTGCGGGGGAATGTAGCTTTGAAAGCTTCTGAAAAAAACTGTCTGTTAGAATGTAGGACATGATACAGTTTCTATAAATACCGTAAATATTTTGGATAATTAATAAATTAGTTTGTACACATTATATGCTATATTTTAAGAAAAAAAAGTACATTTAAGTATATTTAAAATATACCATTTTTAAATTGCCAACATCTAGTCATTTGTTTTAAACAAGATGCTTTGTATATTTTGTAATATATAGATCAATATTTCTTTTTCATATTCATTGATACAAAACTTACTAACTTTATCGTTTTTAATTTTTAACATTTATCTTCAAAATAGAAATAAAAATTATTTATAAAACTAAGTCTCCCTTTTAAAGTTATAAATTGACATAATTACGAATATAGCATAGTTATGTATAATTATTTAGTCTAAAATATTACTATAATAAAGAGTTGAAATCCCAATAAGTTGCAAATAAACAAATGTGACAGTAGAAAACTAAATGTGGTATGAACATAAAATCATTATATATGTTTATTTGTATTATAAAATTTGTAAATTGAAAACAATTAATGTTTTAATTGATAAAAATTAGTTAAACTCATATGTTAATATAATCTAAAGTTTAACGGTTCAAACGCTTCATTTTTTCTTCTTAATTAAATGGAAGCACTCTAAGTTGGCATAATTGCGAAGTACTATTTATGAATTTGCACAGTAATTGACTATCCTGTTATTGATCAATTATCAATTCATTAACAATACCTCGCAATTATGACAATCTAGAATGTTGCAATTTTGTTAGAAAACAACAATATTAAAATTGTTTTGCTATCAACTGTATAACTAAGTATATTTACATTATATAACATAAAATTCGAAATATTGATTTTCTTTATATCATGCGTTATTTATAATAAATTATGAATTATATAATAATAAATATAAATTATATAAAATTATATAAAAATAAATTATATAACAATAAAACAATTACAGATTTTAGTAATTTAACACAACTAAATTGTGTCATGTATAAATTAAGTTACTTGTGATAGCGAGCATAATATTAGTATCCCCTATTTTGAAATTATTTTTCTGCCCTGTCCATGAATACATACAAGCTACATTATCAGCAAATATTGCACCTAAAGCTCTTCTTATTAAGTCTTTCTCATTCTTCCCTCCAATCAGTAATACTTTATTGAGCTGAAACATTATTCTTATACTATATCTTATCATTATAATTGATATAATAGTCATGAATATTTTGTTTTTGTAATCGTACAAATAACTTTTTTTACGCTAAACTATAAAAATATAAAATATGTATATAAAAATCCATACGACAAAGTATACTGTTTCATTGTAAGAATGTATTCAATTTATGATAATAATGTCTTTTACTTACTACTTGCATGAAAGCTTCTTGATCATCTTTTAATATGTCTTCAAAAGCAAGAAGACTTTGAATCGAAGTTAACGGGAGATGTTGTCGGATTTTATGATCATGTATTATACCATCCTCTTTAGAATATTGTGCACTATTTATTTTTGCTAATATCACATTTGTAGTTTCCTGGATTTGCAAAAGTGATTTGTCTTGTTTTTCTTGCATATTTTGAATTTTACTTTCAATATTTGCCATTATTATCTTCAAATCTGTTACCAAAGAAATAAAATCTATTGAATTTTCATGCGGGATTATTATTGGTACATTAGTAACATCTTCTGTTATATCAGTAATATTTTCTGCCATATTAGTAACATGTTCAGTTATGATATAATTCTCTAAACGAGACGAAATTATACATATAATTATACATATAATATATAATACATTTAATTAAAATGACACTTTTGTTACTCACTGTTTATATTCTTACAATTTTGTTGTGATGATTTATTAAATTCAATATCTTCACTGTTTTTATGCGCTGATACTGAAAGTAAACATTTTATTAGACATATGTAAAGTTTATCTACTATTCAACAGCATAAGATATGTAAAACTTTAAGCGCAATTATTACATGTATAAAAGGATAAAAATAATATGCCCGTCGAACTTGACTAATATTGAGAACATTATAGGTGCGATTCTATTTGAGATATCATTTGCAATGAACTAACGTTAATTTATTTTAATTTGACATATTAATGTTTATTAAAAATTATTAATAAATGGGAATAAAAGCGGTATTACATTTTAGAAAAAGCAGTGCTTAAGAACGGAAAACAAGTGTATATCGCTCAAAAGTCATTTTTTTTAATGTTAAAAGAAAGTTGAAATACACTCAAACGCAAAAAACCCGGTATACTAAAAATTTGGGAAAAAATTACAAAATTTCAAATGATCATAACTTGGTAAATAATGAAGATACAAATATGCACAGAAATGCAAAATGAAGCTTGAAATGTCCTCTTTAAGAATATCTGAATGGCAATTATGCTCGGCCATTTTTTTCAAAATGGCGGATGATAAAATGAGAGGATGCAAAATTGATAATCAAAGATCCGTGTTTGCGATGGTGCATGGTGTGCATCAGGTATCGCAGCGTAATGGGACCAAATGCACATGAAAGTATAGAGTGTTATCTTTAAAATGCTACTTTACCGAGCTCGATGTGATCATTTTTCACTGAGTTGTTCCAAATTTTGCTAAAAATGCGGTTTTCTTGTTAAATTTGCATAATTCAGTGAATAAGTATCGCATCAAGCTCTATAACGAAGTATTTTAAAGAAAACATTCTATACTTTTAGGTACTTTTCGTCCCATTGAGCTGCGACACTTACTTTGCTCCATGCGCCGTCGCACGCTCGAACCTTTTTTTAGCAACTTTTCATGTTCTCCTTTTTATTACCCGCCATTTTGAAAAAATATCGTTGCGCACAATTTCGATAGATCTTTCGAAAAGTACGGTTTCAAAGCTTTCAAACCGTTTTTGAAATTTGCTGCTAGGATATTTAGGTGTCGAGATATTCAATTTCGAATTTGCAACAAATGTCGATTCAGCGAGGCTTAAGGGGCTATTTCATAATTTCAATAGCCGCGTTCATTATTCTCTATACAATAATTTACACAATTTTGCGAATTGGAAATTTAATTTTTATCAAAAGTTATCATTCTTTACCCTTCAGTTACGCATGATCACTGTGGTATACACTTTAGTTCGCGAAGCTGTCCCTAGTTCTCTACCTTCTCCGTACGATTGGCCATTATGGTACACAGCTTGAATATGCTGTTCAAGATCGCGCCTGAGTTCGCGGTGACCCAGCGCGCGGGATGCCGAGTCGCTGGACGCCACCTGAACATCGAAATTCCCTGGCGCTCCTAGTCCACGGAGCCGCCGCGACGCGGCGATCTGGGTTGTCGCACGCGCGAGCCCCTCGGCTCGCACGCGAGTTCGAGCTGCCCAGGGCATATAAGAGTGCCCGCGGAGACGATCAGAGATTGCCTTCGTACAGCTTTTGGCCTTCGTATGGTCCACGGCCGATAGTGGCACTATCTCTTGTACGCTGGACTTCGCGAGTTTGTCAGTACGCCGGGCTTACGTTCTGGCTTGACTGAGATTCTGTCGGTGCGCCGGGCTTTAACGCCTGGCTTGACTGCATTTTTCTTAGATGTATGTGTCAAGACAATAAACAAAGACAAACAATTTTCCTTTTCCGAACGTGTTCACTCCGATAAGCGCTGCCTCGTGCGACTTTTCCTTTTCCGTGATCTTTTCCTTTCGAGGCGCGTTGCTTCGTGCAACTTCATCAATTTAAACCATAATTGATTGTTTCGCATCGAAATTATTGCGTCGATTATGGCGACGATAAATCCTGAAAAGGCTGCTCAAGTTATTGTTTTAATTGAAGATGGCAGAAGTCGAAGGTACATTGCTCAGGCACTTGATTTGTCAGTGTCAACTGTGCAACGTGCTTATGCCAGGTACTTACAAACCAATTCTTTCCATAGAAGGCCTGGTTCGGGACGTCCTCGATGTACCAATCACAATGATGACCGATTTATTGTTTCAAATTCGTTAAGAGACAGACATCGAACATCTGTTCAAATTAGAAACAATTTAAGGGATGTCCGCAACATTAATGTATCCGTTAACACCGGAGAAGATTAAAGGAACAAAATCTGCTTTCGCGCAGGCCAGCAGCTGTACCTTTGCTTAAATGTCACCATCGCGTAGCTCGACTCAATTTTGCAGTTGAGCATAGAGACTGGACTTACGCAGACTGGAGCAAAGTACTCTTTAGCGATGAATCTCGTTTTTGTGTCTATTCTCCAGATGGACGAGAATGAGTTTATCGTCGCGGTGGAGAACAATTTGCAGACTGTACGGTAAGTGAGAGGCATAGCTACAATGGAGGCTCTGTAATAATTTGGGCAGGAATTTCAGCTAATGCTCATACAGATCTGCACTTTTTTGACAAGAATATGAACGCAGATGTATACGTGGAAGACATACTCATTCCGTATGTTGTTCCGTACGCACCCTTCATCGGAGAGAACTTCTTGTTTATGCAAGACAATGTTCGACCACACACTGTGAGAAGAGTGCTTGATTTCTTCGATGAAGTTGGCATAAATCGACTCGATTGGTCAGCAAATAGTCCAGATTTAAATCCAATCGAACACTTATGGGACAACCTCGGCAGGAAAGTACGAAATCACGTACCCGCTTCTCAGTCACTGCGAGAACTGCGAATAATTCTCGAAAACGAATGGAATACAATTACGCAGGATAAAATTAAAAGACTAATAAGGAGTATGCTTGATCGTATGAATGAGGTAATACGCGCACGAGGCAGTCATACCCACTATTAGTACACACACAGCAGAGAGGGTTTGGAGTCATTAACACACACACACACACACACCACAAGGAGGGTGTGAAATCTTGAAATACTGTGGAGCTGACGAACCACGGGGTCCTTATCCTTGTGGTATACACACACACACACACACACACACACACACACACACACACACACACACACACACACACACACACACACACACACACACACGCCACAAGGAGGGTGTGAAATCTTGAAATACTGTGGAGCTGACGAACCACGGGGTCCTTATCCTTGTGGTATACAAACACACACACACACACATACACACACACTACATACAATGGGACTTTTCCTACCAGTAAAACTCCATGCGGTTTATATTGGGAAGACTTACAACCATAATTTGAGCTAATGACAGCGGTATCTTAAAACGCAATTCATCTTTATTACGTAATACCGATTACGCAAAATGAAGAACCTAAATTGAATTTTACTTTCATTTCCCTGGTTTTCAAAATAATAAATGCAAATCATTGAATATATTGTACAGGTTATGTAAATTATTATATAGAGAAACATGAACACAGCTATTGAAATTATGAAAGAGCCAAACGAACCGCAGAGCCTCTTAGCCCCTTAAGTCTCGCTGAATCGACATTTGTTGCAAATTCGAAATTGAATATCTCGACACCTAAATATCCTAGCAGAAATTTCAAAAACGGTTTGAAAGCTTTGAAACCGTACTTTTCGAAAGATCTATCGAAATTGTGCGCAACGATATTTTTTCAAAATGGCGGGTGATAAAAAGGAGAACATGAAAAGTTGCTAAAAAAAGGTTCGAGCGTGCGACGGCGCATGGAGCAAAGTAAGTGTCGCAGCTCAATGGGACGAAAAGTACCTAAAAGTATAGAATGTTTTCTTTAAAATACTTCGTTATAGAGCTTGATGCGATACTTATTCACTGAATTATGCAAATTTAACAAGAAAACCGCATTTTTAGCAAAATTTGGAACAACTCAGTGAAAAATGATCACATCGAGCTTGGTAAAGTAGCATTTTAAAGATAACACTCTATACTTTCATGTGCATTTGGTCCCATTACGCTGCGATACCTGATGCACACCATGCACCATCGCAAACACGGACCTTTGATTATCAATTTTGCATCCTCTCACTTTATCATCCGCCGTTTTGAAAAAAATGGCCGAGCATAATTGCCATTCAGATATTCTTAAAGAGGACGTTTCAAGCTTCATTTTGCATTTCTGCGCATATTTGTATCTTCATTATTTACCAAGTTATGATCATTTGAAATTTTGTAATTTTTTCCCAAATTTGTAGTGTACCGGGTTTTTTGCGTTTGAGTGTAGAACTCAAAGATGTAAAGAAATCAAATATATATAAGAAAGGACTGCATAAAAGCCATGCAGAAAAAGATACGCAATAAATATAATTATTGTGAATCATCAAGTATTATTATTGTTAAACTAATATTGATAAAACCTAGATGTTTAAACAATTAAAAAACTGTTTACTTAGCTGTTCACTTAAAATTAATGTATTATTTAGTATTATTCAGCTCAAAGAATAAAAGTTACAGATTTAAAAATCGTGAAACATTAAGATTAAGCTATTAAGGTGATGAAGCGTATAACTTTTAAACTCGTTAATAATTAAGTCTTATATTTAAGATCATTAACTTAATATTTACATTTTATGTAATTAATGAAAGGATCTGTAGAGCACTTAAACATAAACATAATATGATTTAAATATTAAAGCTGACTATAAATATGGAACTTATTTATCGAAATGTTAATATACTCCTATTAAAGAATCTTAACATATCAAACCTGCAGTACTTGACTGAGATGATTCTTTGGATAATGAAATTAACTTCGGAGGACCAACACAAGTAACATAATCCTTATATTTGTTATGTCTTATTTTTCTTTTTCCCATTCTTAATTCAGCTTCAGATTCTGAAGTTGCTACAACTTGTTTTTCTGCCTCTAAAGCTTCTTCATAAGTATCTGTAGAAAAAAAAATTATACACAACTTATTCATATTCTTATGCAAATATATTAGCATTTTTGTTTTATCAATGGCACAATCTGAATAATATGTTTGTAAAATATTTGTACTAAAGCATACTTACCTAGGCACTGTCCACTCTCTTGTCTAGTTTATAATAATAATATATTTTCACACAAAAATAATCAATTGCTTTACTGTTCCATCGCATCGTGCTATCTCAGCTCGCTATGCACATAAAGCGCACATTCACAGTGCTAACTCATGTGTGTGCGCGCAACTCTTATACGTAGAAATTATTCTGATATGTTATATTAACTTCTGGACAACGTATTGCAATAATATTATAAAAATATTTCTATAATTATTTTAAAAATATTTAAAAAATATTTCAAATGCCATGTTATTATATAACGTTAGCACAATATTTGTAAAACTACGCAAAAACATTCAAAATTTCTACTTCATATCAACATTTCAAAATGTAGATTTAATGTTTCTTGTTTACTGGGTAAGGAACATGCTATAATAATTTGGCGGTGATATATAACGTCAGCTAGACAAAATACGTCAATTTGTAAAATGGTATTGCACGTAAGTCGCTGCGACGCTTGACTCACTCACCCGAAAGCCTGGAAAGCATTTTCTCGCCGTGTATCGGCCGGCGAAGTGCCCGAGTGAGTAAGACAAGGATAGCGCGATCGATTGTTCATCCTTGTCAAACTGACCTGACCCAACCTTCCTGCTCTTGCACTCGCGCGCACGGCATTGGTTCGCAGTTTCGCCGCACAAGGCTCTCAAAGTCAACTCTGGATTTGCCTCTGGCTCCTGCAGACCCTTAAGCTAAGACTCCATGCATGCGGTGAGCTGCGGCAAATGCTGCGGTGACCAATCAGGAGGGAGGCGCAAGTCCGGTTGCGGCAAGCTCCGGCATGCGTCTGTCTCCTGATTGGTCACCGCAGCCGTTTGCCGGAGCTCACCGCATGCATGGAGTCTTAGCTTTAAGAATAAAGAAAGTACATGTGTTAGATCATTGTATCATATTGTGAATCTCCAATTATGAGATCTGTATTTGCCACCGTAATATTTAGAGTGTAAGCAAAATCAAGTCTAAGTTAGCGAAGTTCCAAATGAAAACTTGGCGATATATTCTCGAAATCAAGGTATAGTTAATAGCTTTAATATTTCATGTAACTATTAACATTTTTTAAGTGTACATAATATTGTGAGACTTATTATTTATTAATTATTCAAAATAGAACGATCTTGTCAAAGCAATACATTTGTCATAGTGATAGCTTTCTGTTAATAATAGAATAGTAGAATAATAGAAAAGAATTTGTATGATTAGAAAATATTAACTTTATATGTTTTTGTTTCAATATAGTGATTAATATAGATCATCGTGGCTTCAATTTACCCCGAGGTACATGCAGCTACATGTGCAGATATATAGCAGCTACATAGCATTTGTAACTTTGTATTGGAGGTTAAGATTACATGTATAATACACCGCCAGCTATGTATATACATACTCTTACATATATTTCAGGTTTATTTTAGATCATACATGGCAAATTAACGACAAAATGTTAGTATTCAGATAAAAGATTAAATTCAATATTGTAAATTTTCATTTTTCTAAAATATATATTCTGTATTTCATGCATACTCCGGCATTCACGAATGTCAAATTCAATGGAGATTTTGGTGATTGAGGTCTTGTTGGTTTTACTCGATAAAAATGAGAGAGAATGTATGCTATTTCCAAAGTGACTAGTGATCGATACAAGAAAGAATAAGTCAGCAAATTGCAAGGTGAGAGCAGGCTTCTGGTCATATATATTCATTTTATTTGAAATGAGTATGATTATGAAAACAAAAAACTTTTTTCTAAATCTATGGCAATTTTTTAATTAATATCACCCTTAGGAAAAATTACTTAAAATTTTCAAATTATAGTTAACTGTAAGTAATTTACAGTTAATTATAAGTAACTTTAGGTAACTATAAGTAACTTTAAGTTAATTGGAACATCTCAAGTAATTTTTCTTAAGGACATAGCTTGTAATTATATCATAAACTTAGAGATCAATTTACTTCACTACAAATTCATAGGCAATTTTTTTAACATTGTATATAGCTAACTATATATAGTTAACTATATATAATTAACTGTAATAGGACAAAGATAGTAATAATTACCTGTCTGACAACATAAAATCATAGAAAAGTAGCTGGGAAGATTGCATTAAAGAAATTATGGAATAAATAGTATTATAAATATAAGTTAGATACAAAATGGTGAATTAAATAATTCATTTGTTTATAAATGGTAATTAAAAAAGTATTTGTAAGAATAATGAAAAGACAGATCAAATAAAAGAAAAATAAGTTATAAAACAAAAAAATTAAAATATCAAGCAAAACAAATATAACTATTATATGAATATAAATTCGAATTCTATATTTAATTTGGATTTAAGAACATATACAGATATCTATATATATGTACAAAGACATACATATACAGGGTATATACAAGTTTGATACAATTTTTTACCACACGATTTAGCATTACCGGCAGCATTGTAGTTAATTGAGTCATGTATAGATATAGCATGTATCATGTATATGTATGTTATAGACAAGTTCAGGTGATTGACTTCTTAGTTACTTGAGCTAAGATCTCTACGAAAAGGTATAGATACTTAATGTGGAAATGCATTATAAAAATATGATAATGGAAACATAAAAATTACATCTGTAGCAGGAAAGATTTTAAGATTTATATAACATTAATTTTACTATATTTTTATAATACATTACCACGTTAAATATCTCCATATACCATGATATCTTGGTAACTATTTGTCGGAAGAGAAAATGGTACTATTTTACTCTATTATATTTTACTCTATTTGGCTTCAAGAATATACTGTTACAATAGTGCCATAACCTTTGTTAACTTAATGACCTTTGGAAATTTCAAAGTCAAGTTAACAAAAGTTATTATTGTAACAGTATATTTTTGAGCATTATTGTACCAGTATATTTTTGAGACCATATAGAATAAAGTATAGTAAAATAGATTAAAATAATACCATTTTCTCTTCTGACAAATAGTTACCAAGATATTGTAAGCTAAATCTTGAAAAGGTTACCAAATTTTCTTTAAATATCTAAAAAAATATTAAGCAAATAAAAAAATGTTGCAAACAAAAGTTGTTTCAATTAATTGGTAGAAAAAGATGATATAATAGAAAATTGGGGTTTCCATTTAAGAAAAGTAATGATCAATAAATATCTCGAAAATGGCGCTATCTGTAAACAAACTGATATAGTTATTTTATGTCCCCCTTGAAACCATCCAACTTTTGTCTGAAACGTTTTTTTATCTTTTATATTTTTCAAGAATTTTGTCTGTCAAAGTTAAAATGGAACCCTGTATACAGGGTGAGGAAAAAGTATCGGAACACCTGAATAACTTTGAAGGGTCAAGTTTTCAAGAAAAATATCTTAGATAAAAGTTTCAGTATTTTAAATAATGAACTTGATGATGCCCTTGAATTTGATCATAGGGTAAATTTTCAAGGTCATTTGAAGGTCAACTCGAAATTTTCAAATGGAAATCCCAACTTTTCTTACACCGTCTTTTTCTACCAATTAATTTAAAAGATTTATGTTTAAGACATTTTTTATTTGCTTAATATTTTTTGAGATATTTAAGAAAAATTTAATAACTTTTTCAATATTTAATTTACGATATTTCGCTAACTATTTGTCGGAAGAAAAAGTGGTACTAGACTTTTTTGCTTTATTTAGTCTCAAAAATATATCGTTACGATAGCGTTCTGATTTTTGTTAATTTGATGATTTTGAAATTTCCAAAAGTCAGTAAGTTAACAAAAGTCAGGGCGCTATCGTAACAATATATTCTTGAAACATTATATTTTTGAGATGCGTGCAATACGACTCAATTAACTACAGTGCTGTCAGTAATGCTAAATCCTGTGGTAAAAAGTATCACTTGTATATACCTTGTATACATATATGGAGGAGCATTCTCTGTCAAATCAGCTACTCCCCTGCGTATCTCAATTTTCGATATAAATTATTTTTATAGGGCTCAAAATTTTCGTTGAAATGTCTATTTTTATATGCCGTCTGGTATTTTTGGCGTCGCAAGATGACGGCGCCATAATATAAACCGAAACGAGCATAAGTCATGAAAACGATGGAAAATCTCGCTACGAATTTTGAGCTTTTCAATTTTTCACTTCTAAAACTTAAAAACTCGGTAAATATCTAAGGATGAGATTTGGATCGATGGCATTTTGGAGATATCAGGAATCCTAATTTGGCTCGTGGGGTTCAGGGCTCATGGCGTTCCAGCAATGAAGAGATTTCAGGACTATGGAACTTACAATATATTGAGTCATGGGAATCTAGGGTGAGAGGTTTTTAAGTTCGGGTTATGGGGTCCGGGGTGATGTGCGAAGAATACAGGTTTTTGCAGTTAGAGTTCATATATTTACCGTTTTTAAGTGTTAGAGGTGAAAAATTGGATATGTATATATTAATACTGTCAATCAGTAATACTGTCAATTTCAAATAAAAAGTAGAATTCAAATTTTTATTTACGTGATAGTTAATTGTTTTGTTTAGTATTTTTAATTATAATATGTTAAATTATAATATATATTAAATTTTTAATTTTGTTTTATAATCATTTATTTTTTATTGTGTACCAGGTGTTGTCGGTAATTCCTTTTCGGTTTTTTCGCAAAGAAAACACGTTATTTACAATAGATAGTTAAAATATATTTATTCAAAGTATTGGCCATTTGATTCCATACATTTTGCCCATCTCTCAGGCAATTTATGGATGCCATTCCAAAAGAACTGTTTCTCCTTTGAGCTAAACCATTCATCGAGCCATTTTTTAACTTCTTCGAAATCGGCGAAGTACTGTTCTGCAAGCGCGTGCCCCATCGATGCGAAAAGGTGGTAGTCGGATGGAGCCAGGTCTGGAGAGTACGGCGGGTGCGATAAACTTCCCATCCAAGTGATTTCAACACTTCTTTGACTGGTTTTGCTGTATGAGACGCCGCGTTGTCATGCTGCAAAATCACCTTATCATGTCTTTGAGCGTATTGTGGACGTTTTTCGATCAATGCACAGTTCAAATTGATCATTTGTTGTTGGTAGCGATCAGTATTAACTGTTTCTCCAGGTTTCAACAGTTCATAATATACGACACCAACCTGGTCCCATCAGACACAGAGCGTGGTCTTGCGACCAAAGCGATTTGGCCTTGCAGTCGATGGGCCGCCTTCGCCAGGTGATAACCATGATTTTTTTCGTTTGGGATTTTCGAAATAAATCCATTTTTCATCACCCGTTACTATTCGATGCAGAAATGACTTCCTTTCATACCTTTGAAGCAGCATTTCACTGACGATTTTTCGATTTTCCAATTGCCTGTCATTCAATTCATGTGGCACCCATCTTCTCATCTTTTGGATCTTTCCCATTGCTTGTAATCGTTCACAAATTGCTACTCGGCTCACATTCAACTTTTCTGCCAATTGTTTTTGAGTTTGTGTTGGGTCTTCATCCAATAACTCCTGCAATTCCGCATCTTCAAACGTTTTCGGCCTACCAGGATGTTTTTTGTCTTGAACGTTGAAATCACCACATTTGAATTGTCGAAACCACGTTTCACATGTTCTTATGGTTGGAGCATGCTCACCGTAAGTCTCTATCAGCAAACGATGACTTTCAGCGGCTTTTTTCTTTTGATTAAACAAGAAAAGTAATGCGTGCCGCAAATGCACGTTTTCAGGCACAAAATTCGACATTTTCAAAAAATTATTAATCTATAACGCTGTTATTTTGGCGGAACGTAACTTGTGTAGTTTTGAGGTTAATGTCAGTAGAATAAAATGACATATGTATCAAATCATAACATTGCATACTTATGGCTAGTGACATCTGTTACAAAAACCGGAAAGTAATTACCGACATACCTGGTATATGTATATTATTATGCATGCATATGTGCTAACAAATTTATTCTTTAAAATATTTACAATTGATCTAATGTTTATATTATTTGATAATATTGATTTTTATATTTTATTACAATGCTGGGGGATAAGTACTCACTTCGGCCAGATTTTAGCGCCTACTTTCCCCTTACTACCGCTGCCGGCTGAACGCCGATCGTGCGGCAGCTTTGTTTTCAGAAGCGTTCGCATATGAAAAATACGCTGGGATCATAATTTCCACCAAACCATCTTTAGAATTTTGACAATAGATTTTCACATCACCTGTGAGATACTATTGTTGATATGTTTATTTTTTTTAATGGTTTTCGCAGTAACCTTACTCCACTAAAAATTGATAAAGATGAAACATATGTTCTAATAACGGCTCTGTTCTAATGACGGTTTGGCGGAAAGTACGACCTCAGCGTATTTTTCATATGCGAAGTCTCCTAAAAGTTGTTGCATGCAATCGGCGGCTCGACCGTCAAGTCGAGAGCAATAGTAGGAGGAAAGTAGGCGTCGTCTTCGAAATTTGGCCGAAGTGAGCACTTATCCCCTAGCACTATTTTATTATGTATAACTTTTTAATTTACAGTCATAGTTATGCAATATTAATATTTGATATGGGAATACAAAAAAGAGCAATTATGTAGGTATCATAAAATTAGTTAGACTCAATAAGAATAAACAGTATTGGAAGAGGAGTAATTTTACAAAAATTAAGAGGAAGGAAAAAGTAGAAAAAAATTTGTTAGACAAGTTATA